ATTTTATCTGATGAAACTAAGCGAGCAGTATGCGTGGCTCAGACTTTGTGCACAAGTCTATCCCAGTATAATTCGTTGCAAGATGCCTACATACATTCAGCACTCACAGAAGTTTACCATGACCTGGAAGACATCAATTCACAGCTGCAGGTAAGTGTCAGTACAATATTCTAGCCATGGAATCAAAACATTCTATTCATATCTTACAACCAGATGGGTCCCTTGTTAGGGATTAGCATTAGGAAGGCAAGATTCACTGATACAAAATTTTATAACAGGAGCAGTGGGCTTCCATCCTCTTTGAATAATCAATTTTGGAGATTAGATTTAAAACTTTGGGCAATGTTTAACAGTTATTCCCTTGACACCACTATTACTGTATACACTTTTAACTCCCTCGGCATTGTTTTAAAAAGCAATGATCAGAATTTTTATAAAATCCAAACATATAAAAATGGATTTATACATTTTCTTTATTCTTGAGAAATGACAACAAAGATGTTAAATAATATTTATTTATTAGATTGAATAAAAACAAACTTGTTTTCATAGTTATTTATAAAAATGGTAAATAATAAATATTGCATTGCAGTTGGTTTACATATTTTGATAATTTTGTAATAAATTTCAAATAAAAAGATTTCCTTCCAAATTTATTTCTTTATAAAATGGTGACTAATAAATTGTACTTGGTTCACATATTTTTATAATCTTGTGAATAAATATTGCTTAGGGAGTCAAAAGTATATACAGTAATAACAGTGTCAAGGGAATAACCGTCCTTTTGGTTTGTTAAATGACAAGCAAAATTCAGCAATATTCAACCTTCATGTCTGTGTGTCAAAAGGACGATTATTCCCTTGACACACCATTTTTTGGTAGACATGACGGTTAAATATTGCTGAATTTTGCTTGTCATTTAACAGATCAACTAGGAAATAGAAAAGAAATACTTCACTTCCTACATTCACAGTGTGTGCAAAAAATATTAACAAATCCTTAAATTTTTTTTATCATATTTAGCTCGGATTTGTTACAATTAGACTTTCTTTAGGGAAATATATAATAATTAATAAAGTAATGACATTCTTTCACAAATTGAGAAAATCTAACAATATAGAAATGTACAACACTATGAACATTGAGATGATTAGAAGTTTATATATGAAGAATGAGAGACTTTGTTTATATGCCATGTCACTTAAGGAAGGGGATGATTATGGCCCTCCATAACATCTTATCCTTCATAGCACTTAGCAATGTCTATTTTGCTATTCCAATGCAACTTCAGATTTCTGTGTCACATTATTTTGTCATATGTTAAAATGCTTCCAAGAATTTTGATTTTGACCTGTTCAATTTGTAGCTCACGTCTTGTTCCCCTTGCTAATGACCTTACATTCTGTTTTTGTACAATTGATGATTAGTCTTTTCTTCCTGCTTTCCTTTACTACCTTAAAAATCAATTACAAATTTTATAATTGTTATATACGTAGGTTGCATCAGGTACTTGAGAACAAACCTCTAGCAGGCTGTAAATAGAAGACAAGCTAAGATAATGCAATGCAGTATACACCAAATGATATTTCTCTTTAGGCTATATTGAGATCATTAACATAGCAGCTTCTAGCTGATATGACACAAGAAATGAAAAGGCATACCATGCTCAGAGTACTAAGTTCCAACCAGATTGAGTTGGAGATGACTTGCTTTTTGAAAGTGGCCTGATCCTTTGTGTTCAAGATCAGGGAAGAGATGAAGGCTTCTGCTGAGGAAATACTATATGTAGACAAGAGAAAGACATGTACCATACAGACTTGTGTATATGTAAACTTCATGTACAGTGTGATCTCTGAATTATTTTGCATGAATTTTAACCCACTCCAGAAAAGATTTACCAGTGTATAGTGCAATTGGTCACCAAATGAGGCATGATTTTTAACATCTTCAATAATATTACCTGTGACCCCCTATTTTTTTGCATAAGAAAACTGATCATGAAAAGCTGCACTATACTCAAGTATATACGGTACTAAGCAGATGTAAAAGACTGCCAAGTTCATCCAACGAGTCTAGGACATCATCAACCATGACACCAGAAAGTTAATGTGGTTTATTGCTGAAGAATTCAAGGTGACAGTTCACTGTCAGACATCCAGACATCAGGTACAAGCTGTTCATGAATAAGAGAAGGTTATTCATATCAGACAAGATTCAAGAGAACGAGTAGAAGAGATAAGGATACTGAATATAGAATAGGCTGCTGCTAATAACAGATAGCACATGCAACTCAAAGAGAAAATAATGACATAATCAACATGCTGACCTTCCACACTACTTCAAACAAAAGGTTAGGAAGGAAACCCTCTCATCAATACTGGAAAGAGTGATAACACTTAGTGGTCTTCAGAAGCCTGTTTTCCTGAAAAATGTTTTAAAAGAAAGATTTTTATAAATTTCAACCAAAAATAACACTGGCTGCTCAGTCAATGAATTGAGTAAGGAAATAGCTAATACTACCGTTACCATTGTAATTGATTTTTTTTTTCTTTTATATCTGTCCATAACATTTGCCAAAGAAGGATTTTACTGTCCAGCTTGTATCTACTAAGAGGGTGTGTTGACTAATTGATTTATTTCACTGTTTCTGTTCTTATAATTAAACTGCTAATATTAAAATAACTATTTGATCTGATGGAAACACTTGCTGAACACTTTTTGAAACACTTGCTCAAAGATCCTCTAGCTGTCTTGGGTCCAGTGTAAGGCAATTAAGTACTGATACAGTATAATTCAGTCTGAATCAGTCATGTGATAACCGGCATATTTTGGAGGGAAAAATCAAAACCAGAGTTGCGATACCCTTGCTTAGAAAAGAAGCTTAGCAGGTCTTTGACCAACTGTTCAGTCTCACTTAAGAAAAGAAGCTTGCCAGGACTTGTACCTATTCTTGGATTCTGGTTAGACGGTGCACAAGGTAGGTTGCCTTTGAGTTTCCATGTTATTCTGGACAATTTTTTTTTTGTATTAGTATGCAACATGAAGCCGTTGTTTTTTCTTTCAGTATTTCATAGTGTTTGTAGAGATGGAAATAAATGTACTTTTCGAACATTAGTCAATTCTTAGAGTTGTCTTTACCAGACGAAAGACCTTAGGAGTGATAACAGAGCCCAACATGATGTTGTTTTACTTCAATGAGACCTTAAACAGAGTCAAATAGAAGTGGCTCTATGTGGGCCCCATGAGAGTACCCACAATGATACACACCAATTTCACATAATTTATGATGGTCCAGGGGGTTGTGAGCAATGAAGCCTATGCCATACGGCCTCACTATTGTCTGTATATCCTCAGAGTTTATGCAAACACCAACATCAAGGTGTTGGACATGATGATAAAGCATTGGATGAAGAAAGTGACTTAAGAAAAATTACTATGTCTATCAGTTGGATTCTGCTCCTCCCCACATGACCCAAAAGTGATTGGTCAAGAATTTTAATGATCATGTCACTCATTCACACATGGACTCTTAGCTCTCCTTATTTGAATCCTCTTAAGTAAAATAGAAACAAAAGGAACACTTATAGTCAGAATCAGAACTGGTTAATTGATTTGTTTTTTTACGGTTTATCAACCATTTGGGGTTATTTAAAAATATTTTGGATTTTCAGAATAATTCCTTTTTTTTTTTTTTTTTTTTTTTTTACAAGTGAATATTGCATTAACAATTTCTTGAGGATAGCAATGAATGTCTTTCAGATTAAAGTCCTAATATTTAACTGAGTACGAAGAGATGGATCCATCCCTTTCTTAAGTGTATTTGCATGTAAGTTTGACAATGATCTCTGCTCTCTGTCGTTCGCTGCACCTGTGATGACATCCAAGGTCAGCTGTGCCTGCATATACACCCAACTTGCTATATTCACAGATTTGTCTCCTTAGCCGTGATCATATTCAACAAAAAATAATGACAAATTCTTTTAAAGACACTAGTTGGGAAATAACAACAATATGGATTCTCACTAAACTGCCAATCTTTTCCTTTGGCTTCGATGTTTGACTGCTATCTCCGTAACTGCTAACTGGTCCCTTCCTCACTGGCCACTGGGCAGCTATTCACTGGTCACCTACCTACTCACTCACTTTCTTACTCTCTCTGCTTATATGGATACTCATCCCTATTCATCCCTTTGTGTTCCAGAACAAGAGACCAGCCATTCAATTTTTTGGGTGGTCAGCTTCTTCAAAGGACTACTTTTATGATTATGTAAAATCATTGATAAAATTTTAGGTTTGCCAATTCAAAGGCAGGTGGTGACAGAAATCCTGAAAACTCTGGTAGTTAAGTTGACTCAAAAATAGACTGGAGATGAAATTCCTCGGAAACTCAGATAATTAAGTGGACTTAAAAAGAATTTATCTACTTAACTACTAAGGATATATGATAAATTGTATTGTTACATAAGTTAATGTAATGAACCTGACTGGAATTCGAACTCTGCTCTCTGATTTCTCATTCTTAGTTACTATCACTCAGAATCAGAACAAGACAGCTGAAATTTTTTTGGTCCATAATCAGGAAAGACGACTTGGAGAATATTATGCAGGACATATCAAAGGCAAAAGTCATGAGTGAGGGAGTGGGGCAGTGGGCCACTGACTTGAGTGAATGGATGGTAAAATGAGGGAGGTAAAAAGAGAAATGTTATTAAGAGCTACATGGTATAGGTAGTTTGGGAGAGCCATGATTGCCTGTCCTGAAGGGACATGGTACATCATCAAGAGGAAGACCAATGAGCAGCTCAACAGTACCACAGATTCTTTGAAAGCCACCATTATGGATGTGATGACGAATGAATAAGAACCAACTGATCTGAACACTCAGTTGCTGCCCAAGAAACACATCAAGACCACACCTTTGAATTTGAGGGTGGTTTTATTCAACAGCTTTTTTTTTTTTTCTAAATATACTGATTTTTTTTTCTGTTGAATATCTTTGTCTTTCTTTATAATATAACCTGTTCTTGATTATCAGGCGCACTACATTTTCAAAATTTACCTTATGCTGGCGCAATGCCACATTTTACATTCAGTGGGGATTGAACTCTTTTTCAGCAGTATTGTTTTTGAGTCTATGCATTGCTCTGTCCTGATGTAAAAGTAATTGTACATGCGTATATATAATTTGAAAACCTAAAAAAAATAAAACATTATCTATTTTTTTTTTTATTTACTGATAGTTCACCCAATAAAAGGCCCAAAGCCCAGCCATGGTAGAGAGTTACTGAATGAGATGTTAAAGGAGGGAGAAGTAAGAGAGTATTATAAGGTCAAGTAGGATAGATATCACTTGACACTGAACTTGAACTTCAGTATTCTCAGTAGTTTTTCTGTCATTATTAATATTATTGGTTTGAGATCCTCTTCAACTTTTTGATGCTTCGGTTGGTTGATGGTAGTCATATCTCAGCTTCTACACACAGCTCAGGCACACACTACTTTTTTTAGCATGTAAACTGTTCCAAGTAGCACTCCCAATGATACTAGGTATCCCCAATGATTCTTGTGAGACAGAAATTCTTGTAGAGTTTTTTTTTTTTTTGAAATACACACAAACAAGCACATTAATATTGGCAGATCATAAGATATTGATGTAACGAGACACTTGAAAGTATTTAATTAGGGGGTCATCGAAAATGTGGGGTTTGTAGCATTCGACAGTTCATTTACTACATTAATCTGGCACTGATTCATTTGGTTATTATGTTTGACAACTTGAGCAATAGTATTAGAAAAAAATGAAATGCTTACGAGAGAAATTGTGGTGTAAGAGAAGATAACTCTAAATCTCTATAAATAAAATTATCTCCCTTGTAATATTCAACTTTACATTTCACGACTTATATCAGAGATGAAATTTAAATTTTTATTATTGCATTATTCCAAAATTTTAACACATCTGCAGATAGCTATTAATGTCAACAACTGAGCAAAAATAGTTATTAATTAAAAAAATTAGTAATTAATGTATAATATTATCCATAACTACATGTACAAGAATATCGTTTTTGATATAAAGTTAAAAAAAATAATTATAAATGCATAAAAAATGTATATATTGTCGAAAATTCCTTTTTCCACAATATAGCTATTTGTGCTATGTTATAATGCTTATTATCTAAACAATAATAATAATAATACTGAATAATTTTTTTTAAACATTAAAGTATATTTAATCACATCTCCCTAATAGCTGTCGTGATCTGTTAGAAAAAAAAAGGAAGGATTGACAATTACCATTTTCATTTTTTTTTTTTTTTTTTTTTTTTTTTTTATTAAATATTACTTTTCAAACATTGGCCCACAGATTCTGTCTGCTTTTTAAGTTGCTGTGGCTAATTATCTAAAACAATGTTTTACAACATTTTTTATCTCTTTGCACCCCTGAACCTGTAGTTAAACTTCCGTGGCACATTTAATTTAATTTTAGTGGGGCACTTTTTAATTGATTTGCTGATGTACTGGATGAAGGAGTATTTGATGCACCGATATCATCATTTAAATTTTGTTTATTAATTAAAAACTTGTTCATTTTAATTGATTGCAATGCAATAAAAAATAAAAATAGGTTCAACACAAGCTTTACATCCTCACTACTTTGGGCACAATTCTATTCATGCACAATGACAGATTGTGGAGTCATTCCCAAAATCAACTTTGAATGATTTCAAAATGTATTAGTGTTCATTGGTAAGTACTTGTCAAATTGTGCCATCTGTGGACATGTCACATAACCGCATTTCTCATGCCCCACCCAAATTAATGACCATTAAAATATTTTTGTGGCACACCTATGAAACGGCTCAACATTTGAATTGCAAATTCGAGATACCAAAATCAAACAAGTATAAAAATTTATATATCTAGGAAATGTTTTAACAGAGGACAGAAAATGTGATACCATAATCTGAAGGCACATTGGGAAAGTGAAAGATGCCTTTCAAAATCTAAACAATGTATTAAGAAACAAGAAAATTTCATTAGAAGCAAAGAAAAGAGTACTGAACTGTTATGTAATATCAGTCCTCCTATATGGCAGTGAATGCTGGAAAATATCCTCATAGATAAATAAGAGACTTGAAGCAACAGAAATGTGATTCTACAGAAGGATGCTGAGAATACTATGAACTAAACATATGAGCAATGGCAAAGTTTTAGAGAAAATGGAAGCAAAAAGGACACTTATATTTAACATCAAAAAGAGTTGAAATTTCTAGGGCATATAATGAAGAAAAGGGGCTTAGAAAATTGGATACTCACAGGACATATTGAAGGCTAGAGAGACAGAAAAAAAACAGCATATAACCTACCTAAGAATATTGTGTAAATAGTTGTTAGCACAGGGATTAGGAGAGATAGCAAAAAGACAAACTTTATTAAGAGCTACATAGGACAGAAAATTGTGGAGAGGTATGATCAATCACATCCTGAACTGACATGGCACATAGCAGAAGTATGATAAATAAATATCAAAGGAAATATTTGACTTGGGTTGATCAGTTGGTTGCAATTTGTTTTATACATTATTTTAAAGTAACTATGGAATCCTTAATGGTATATAAAATTGTTAATCTTATCTTTTATTAATGCTGATATTTATGCATTTATTGCAAGGTAATCATTAAAGATTGTCTTGATTTATTGCCTTTATTTATTGCAAGATGATCGACAAGGATCATCTTGATTTTTTGCCTTTATTTATTGCAAGGTGATCCTTTACTGATTTCATAGCATAATTGTGTTTGAAATTCTCAGTGTATCTATAGGAATGTCAAACCAGTTGGTTTTATCAAAAAGTATACCAGTAATTTTTTAATCGCATAACATTAAGTTACAATGTTGTTCTTTAATTATTTTTTTCCTATGTCAAGAATTGTTGTCTTCAAATCTAAATTGTAGACAAATTAAACAAGTTTTGAAAATTTTTTTTAAATTTTCAGAACTCGTGTTATAATCATTTAAAAATTCTTTGATAATTGAACCTATTCTATATTTTTGCATTTGTTATTCCCACATTTTGGCCAGTTCATTCTATGGCCTTCCATATGAAAATAGACAATTTTATTTTTATATACTTATTTAAGATGTGAAAACAAGAAAAAAAACGAAACAAAGAAAACAGAAAATTTAAGCAATTAATTATTTATACTATTTATATTGTTTGGACTATTATCTTTATCTTTGTTGCCATATTCACAATGTTTCAGCCATTGAATGCTCCTGCCTTGTTCAGGTAATTAGAATTTTGAACCAAACCCTTTATTTAGATTATTCTAGTTCCATGTGCCATGCATTTCCTGGATATCTCAGTTTCAGTTAATTCTCTTTCGTAACGCAACTCTCCAAATTTTTGTTGACCACTGCTGTAGCCATGTATTGAACTCACAACTCTTTGGGTCAAGTCACTGGACCATGTGTCCTTGAGGTCCAGTGGATAAAAGTGTTAGTTGGATCCAGTGATTTGACCCAAAGAGTTGTGAGTTCAATACCTGGCTACTGCAGTGGTGAACAAAAACTTGGAGAGTTGAGTTAAAAGAAGGTAACTGAGACATCTGAAAGAGGCATGGCACATGGAAATAGATCTACCACAGAAGACAAAATAAAGGGTTCCGTTTGAAATTCCAATCACCTGAAGAAGACCAGAGTGTACAACAGACCAAACAATGTAAATAGTGTAAATACCTCATCTCGAAAATGAGCCCAGTCTTCCAAAAATCAGGTTTACTCTTAATGAATCTTCTTAAATGTATAGACAATAATTTGTATTGTGATCATTATCAAGTTACAGTATGTTTTTTTACTATTCTAATATGATGAATTTTTTTTTTTTGTTTGTTTGTTTGTTTCAGTCCCTGTCTGGCTCAGTGATGAAACTGTTCTCTGAGAACTGTGGGAAGATTTCCAGGCAGTTCTTTCAGAACAATATGCCTGGCGGGAAGGTCTGGAGAAGTAAGAGTGTTGGTAGGTTTAATGGTAAATTGGACATTTATTAAATTATGTCTTTTGCTTACGCTGGCATTTCCTTATTTTCTCATTTCTCTCTCTTTCTCTATTTCTTTCTTTTTATCTGCCTTTGAAAAAAAAATATAACTTCACCTGTGATTTTTTCTTTCATCTCAATTCTTGGAGGATTTTCACATCAGGTAAAAAGGATTGATTATGTTTCTCTTTTATTTCTTGCATATTTTTCTAAACTATTTTTTTATAATCAAAAGTTTGGATTAGGACACAAAAATGAGCAAATTGATAAGCTATAAAAAAAAACAAGTGGTATTAAACTACATTCAGCAGAATCTGGTTCATTAGTTCCATCAATATATTTAATATTGTCAAGATTTTTCTTTTTTTTTTTTTTTTTTTTTTTTCTTTTTTTTTTTTCAATGATGTTCACTCAGTACAAGGCAAGCGAGCCACTCTAGGCAGAGGGTTAAAGTTCGTAAATTACTTCAATGAAGAATCATAGGTTACCAAATTGAGCCAGATACCTTTTGCTGGAATATTGGCATCCCTGAGTGTGACTGTCTTTGATTGATGGGAAAAATCCACCACTTCACCTCCTAACTCAGAAGGAGGGCAAGCAAGCAGTTAAAGAAAGATATTTCAAATCAACAGTACCACCTGGTTTAAAAGTAACCTTCTAACTTGGGTTTTCCGTTTCTTCTCTATCATCTTTTATCGAAATATGGTATAGCTTTCAGTTGTTTGTTCGTCTTTTCACCCTGTGAATGGCCTTTGTTGGACGTAAGTTATCTCCAAATACATGGGGAGGAATGGGCCATTATCATACAATGCAGTTAATGCCTGTTGTGACACACTTGGATGATCATGTCTTTTTTTGATTGATAATTGCCAAAGAGTATTTGTACATAAGTGAATGTAATGAACACGACTAGAATTTGAACTCTGTTCTCAGCATGGATATTCACAAAAGATCCGTTTACCCTTAAGATGATCATTTATGTAAAGTAGAAAGAGAGTTGAACTGAAAAGTGAGCCTTGGGGGACACCTGTATTGATCACTTAGCTCTCAGAGGATTGGCTATTAACAACTACCATCAGGGACCTATCTGTTAGGGAGGACTTGATAATTAAGAAAACCCTTCCAGTGATTCTATAAATAGATAGCTTGTGCAGTATCATGCCACAAATTGTCAAAGGCCTTCAAAATATCTAATGCAATTCTCTTTGAGATGTATTTATTGTCTATTGCCTCACTGATTCTGTGAGTAATGGCAGTTAGGATATCAGCAGTGGACCAAATGAAATTTATACTGCTTGTCACTCAAGAGGTTCTCCCTATTGAGGTGATGAACAACCTTCTTGTTGATTATAGCTTTAAAATTTTTCCTAATGACACTGAAGAGGCTGATGTGTCTATAATGAGTGAAGTTTCAGTCTAAAGTACACCTAACTAGTCTAGTGAGAGTTGAGCTTTATTTCTTGCTTCCATTGGTTGAATAGAACTGCTAACTTGAAACCATATTATTATTATAAGGACAAGATGTTTATAGTTAAGTTCAGTGTAAGAAAGTTCACTACCATCAAATTGCCATGAGGAACGTTCATTGCAAGAAAAGTTTACCATGCAGAAACTTCAGCTTACTGAGGATTGCATGAAACTCCAAGTAGTGTTATCGGCATTGGATACTATGTATATTCACTAATATATACTTATAGCTCTGTTTTATAACACCTTGGGAATAAATATACTTATGTATGTGCAAGTATTTGTGTGTGTATTACTTTTTTATCCTACCCATTCCTAATATATATATATATATATATATATATATATATATATATATATATATATATGAATCTGAATCAAGAAATGCCCATAACTAAACAGGTTGACATGAGAATACTAGAAGAAATAAAAACAACTAAAACTAAATCAATACTAAACATTTCTGCTGGGCAAATTCGAAGACTTGTTCTAAACTACAACAAAAGTAATTGCATCCCTGATGACTTAAGAGAGATAGCATATAATATCAGTATTTAGAAACCCAAGTTTTAATTATTAAATTAATTAATTTAAAAAGCATAATATACTTACTTTTACCTTATTTTTAAAATGTTTTCAATACATTGATCAATAAAACTAGAACCCATAAAAAATTATTTAATTTCTATCTTTTTACGGTGATCTTAGAAGGCTTCTAGTCTAAAAGTGCCTTACTTCTGTTTCCATTTGTCATACCTGTATATAACTTGTACAGCATTCCATATATTTGGACTTCATGATGTTCAAACATGGCTTGTGTAATATTTAGGTATATGCTATAGACAAAATTTAGGGTTTCACAATCTGAAGATGATCTTTCTCTTGGTGTTGGAAGACAGATGATTTTCTGTTTCATTAGCCAAATAGAGTCTGTGCTACCTTCTATAGATTTGAGCCTCACCATGTCTAACCTTGATTTTAGTAAAGAAAATATGTACAATGCTTTACAGTGTATGACTTAACTGATCAGTAAAATCTTTATGCGTGAAAGATTTTTGCATATTTCAGAAAAATGATTTAATATTTCTTATAAAAAATATATTTTTCATTTTTAAATATTTTATGTCAATTCTTTATTTTGGAGAAAAGAAATATTTTAATGAATTCAATCTTTGTCTCTTGTTATCTGAAACACATAACAAATATTTTTGTTCTATAAATTGTCATCTGACTCATTTAAGAAATTTGCACTATGCTGACTGGGTTTTACAACTTGGAAAATAATCTTTTTTTTCTTATCTTTCTTTTCAGAAAAGATAATCTTTTTCTTAATATTGTGAATATAAAGTTACTAATTAATGGGAAATTAGTTTATTAAAAATATAATGAGACAATGTTGTGACCAAGAGAGGAAAATATGAAATGGAATTAACAGACTGGTGACTAATTCTCCTTATTTACAGTAAGAATTGTAGCACTAAAGTAATGTTAATCCCAACTTGATTACCAAAGTTGACCATTCTTAGCACCAGGTCAATATCATATGGGTAACTAATTGATAAAATAGATAACAAAAAAAAACTTATTATGAAATAGCATCCTCCTCTCAAGTCTAGAATAGAAGGGGAGGTTGGAATATATGTTTAGTTTGGAAAGTTTGTTCAAAATTAATTTGTTCTCAGGACAAAAAAGGGGAGAGGAGTTTGGGATAAACAGTTTAGAAAAAAAAAATGAAAAATAAACAGTGCATATGAAGTAACAGTGGGCCGATTGGAAATAAAATTCAAATTTAAATAGCCAGCCAGGTCCCGTCTCTTCCAGATCCAAGAATATGACTTTTGAAAAATTTGGATGTGCATTGTGGTGTAATGGATATCAGCTTGGAGTGATTTATCACTGTTTCTTGGGAAGCCCTTAGCGACTTCTTGCTGAACTCTAAGGTTACAGGGAATACCGGTTGAGAAACACTGCTCTAGAATAATCATGTTATAATTTTAAATAATATAGATTTTAAAGTCTTTATTATAATAATCAAGGATTTTCCAACAATATGCCATAGATGTATAGTTAAATAACGAATAAAATGAATCAGAAATTACTCAAAAATACATTGGTCTATTGATCACTGTTTCTTGCACAACCCCTAGTGACCTCCTGCAGATCCCTAGAGTTCCAGCAAACATTGGTTGACAAACACTGATCTCAATACATCTACTAGAATAATGTGCTGACTGATTGTAAGGTTTGCTGGATAGATGAGCTTTTATCACAATTTCTCCTTAGAAAAAAGGAAATAATTAGTCTTTTAATATTGAAGCAGTTCAGTTTGTTCATGAAAATTTTTATTGTTGAATCTAAAAAAATAGATTTTAGTTGCCTAAACCATTTAACTCATCTGTTTCTTATTATGACTCTTCTTCCAGAAAAAGTTTCAAGGATAAATTTTTTTTATAGCATTTTATTGTACACTGCTCTAAAACCCATTGCAATTTTATTAATCTCTGAAAACTTTCCAAGTATATAACAAACTTGTCATAAAAATGCTACAAATGATTTAATGAAAGAAACTTTATTTGAATTTAAAAAATTATTTATAATTAATATTTTTCTATTTATATTTTTTGATTCTTGATAAAGATCCATACATTCCCTTCTAATGTTGCTATCAAACAAGGGATTTATTGCAGTTATAAAAATCATTTTTTGTTTTTTATCATTCATCTTCAAGCAGTCTTAAGAATGCATTGTGCATTTCTATTGTTGTCCAAGATTCTCCAATCCTCAATTTATTCAGTATTTCATGTTGTTATAATTGGATAGCAGTTTCTTTTTATTTCAGCCAACTTATTAAAGATTGTTTTTTATGCTTCTTGTATGTTTTTTAGATTGTTTTTGAGTTTTAACCAAGCACAATAAACAAAAGAGCTAATAAGGAATGTGGGAACATTGTGGATGTGTTCTATATCCTTACATATTCAAGGAATTAAAAAAGAAAAAAAAGAAACATTCATATTTTCATTTAAACAAAATATAATCGCCTCTAAAAATGTTTTTTAAAAATCAACTTTTTGGAAAGTGTTCTTTCGAAAGTTTGAAAAAGTTTTGCTGAATATTAAAAAAAAAATTACTAATTTTTTTTAATTTTAAATTATTTAGAATATACCCACTCACACATTACATTTCAAATGTTTGTGGCCACACCTGGTAATTTTTTAAATTGGCCCAAAAAGTAGTTGGTTTGTACTTTATATAAGAGAAAACTATTTGACATGGTTAAGAAAAAAGTGAGACATAATTTTTTATTAGAAATTTTATTATGATAAAAATAATAAAAGCATTTTATGATTAAATTTTGCTCTCACCAAAATATCTTCCTTTAGCCTTGATGACTGCAGCACAAATTTTTAGCATTCATTGCAAAAGTTTCTCAAAGTTTAAGTTTGATAATTGATTCCATTCTTTTTTCAAGAAAAAGCTCTTTCATTTTTTTTTTTTTTTTTTTTTTTACTCTTTT